CCTCACTAGGTGAATTATTTCTAGCTTTTGATTTGAAGTGAGAGATGTGTGACTCTTCCTTTCACCTGAACACTTAGAGGCCATTGTAGGGTAATTAATTGGCCTAATTTCAATATTGTTGCGTCTCAGGGAATAGGGAGGCTGGAGGAGAGGGAGAAAGATGGTAACGATGGCAAACTTCTGGTCTTTGCAGCAGTCCAAACACACACATTTATAGATTAAGTTCTCTGTCTTACATGGGTGTGGCTCCCCACGTCAATTGCAGTAATAATATCAAAGATCATTGATCACAACAAAAAACAAACAAAAACAAAGATCACTGATCACAGATCATCATAACAAATATAATGTTTGAAAACTGTGAGAATTACCGAAATGTGATAGAGAGATAGGAAGTGAGCAAATGCTGTTGGAAAAATGGCATCAATAGCATTGCTCACCACAGGGTTGCCACAAACCTTCAATTTGTAAAAACGCTATATCTATGCAGCGCAATAAAATGAGGTATACTCATATGAACGTCTAATCATTATGTTGTACACCTTAAACTAATCTAATGTTGTATGTCAGTTATACCTCTAATAAATAAATAAATAAAGCTGCAATGAAAAGAAAATGGTGCTGAGTCAGCTAGTTATCAACATGCAAAGAATAAAATTGGACCCCAGCTATACACCATATAGAAATATGAAGTAAAAGGGACGCCTGGGTGGCTCAGTCGGTTGAGCGTCTGCCTTTGGCTCGGGTCATGATCCCAGGGTCCTGGGATTGAGTCCCACATCGGGCTCCCTGCTCCGCGGGGAGCCTGCTTCTCCCTCTGCCTCTGCCTCTCTCTCTCTCTCTGTCTCTCATGAATAAATAAATAAAATCTTAAAAAAAAAAAAAAGAAATATATATGAAGTAAAAAATGGACCACAGACCTAAATGTAAGAGCTAAAACTATAAAACTCTTAGAACAAAACATAAGTATAAATCTGTGTGACTTTAGATTAGACAGTGGTTTCTTACATGTGACCCCCAAAGCAGGAGAGCCAAAGAAAAAGTGAATAAATTGGACATCATCAAATTTAAAAATTTTGTGTTTTGAAGGAAACAAGTGAAAAGACAGTGATGGAGTAGGAGAAAATATTTGCAAATCTTATGTCTGATTTGGGACTTGTATCTAGAATATATAAAGAACTCTTATAATTCAACAATAAAAGACAACTAACCCATTTAAAAAATGGACAAAATATTTGAATAGACATTTTTCTAAAGAAAATACAGAGATGACCAATAAGTGCATTGTGCTAGTTTGCTAAGGCTGCTATAATAAAATACTACAGATTGAGTGGCTTAAACAACAGAAATTATTTCAACAATAAAAGACAACCAACCCATTTAAAAAATGGACAAAATATTTGAATAGACATTTTTTCCAAAGAAAATATAAAGATGACCAATAAGTGCATTGTGCTAGTTTGCTAAGGCTGCTATAATAAAATACTACAGATTGAGTGGCTTAAACAACAGAAATTAGTTTTCTTACCATTCTGGAGGCTAGAAGTTCAAGTTCAAAGTTCCCTCGGGGTTGGTTTCTGTTGAGACTACTTCCTGCCTTGTAGTTGGTTGCCTTCTCACTATGTCCTCACATGACCTTTTCTCTGTGCATGCTGAGAGAAAGAGAGACATCTCCCACGTCTGTTCCTCTTCTTATGAAGACATCAATCCTGGTGGATAAGTGCCCCACCTTTAGGACTTCATTTCCTTAAAGGCCCTAACTCCAAGTACAGTCACAGTATGAGTTAGGAGTTAACACCCATGAAAATATGCCTCATGTTATTAGTTACTAGGGAAATGTAATTTAAAATCACAGTGAGATACCACTTCACATACTAGAATGGCTAAAATAAAAGAGTATATAATTAAAGTATTGGTGAGGGTGTGGAGAAATTAGAACCAAATCCTCATACATTGATAGTAGGAATGTGAAGTGGTCTTGATGCTTTGGAAAACAGTTTGGTAGGTCCTCAAAATGTTAAATATAGAGTTAGCATATGACCCAGCGGGTCCACTCTTAGGTTTATACTCAAGAGAATTGAAAACATGTGTCCGCACAAAAACCTATGCTTGAATGTTTGTCAAAGCATTATTCATAACAGCCAAAATGTGGAAACAACCCACATGTCCATCAACTGATGAATGGATAAACAAAATATGATGTGTCCATATAATGGAATATTATTCAGCCATAAAAAGGAATGGCATACTAATATATGCTGCAGCATAGATAAATCTTGAAATATTATGCTCAGTGAGGGACACCTGGGTGGCTCAGTCAGTAAAGCGTCTGCCTTTGGCTCAGGTCATGATCCCAGTGGGATCGAGACCCACATCAGGCTCCCGGCTCACTGGGGAGCCTGCTTCTCCCTCTGCCTGTTGCTCCCCTCTGCTTGTTCTCTATCTCTCTCTTTAGTAAATAAATAAACTCTTTAAAAAAAGAAAAAAGAAAAGAAATACTATGCTCAGTGAAAGAAGCCAGTCACAAAAGGTCATGTATTATGTGATTTATGTAAAATATCCAGAATAGGTAAATATGTAGAAACAAAGTATATTACTAGTTGTTAAGAGCTGGGCTGTGAGGGGTAAATGTGGATCGACAACTAATCGTTTTGGAGTATCTTTTTGTGGTGATGAAAATGAAATTTGATAGTACTTGGATGTATAAGGCTGTGTATATACTAAAACCACCGAGTTCAACACTTCAAATGAGTGAATTGTATGGTATATGAATTATATCTCAAAGCTGTTAATAAAAAGAGAAGGAAATAATCTTAAATTTACACAACTTAAGTTCAGATTAGCATGTAAACATTTAGGTTTACTTTTTACTGACATTTTGTGTTACCTTGTTTGGAAATGTTAAGATAAATTGGGATTATTACTTGCCAAATTCTTTCTTGGTCAAAATTCTTTCTCGGGCAGTAGTGTCAACAGTAACATGACATTTGAATTCCATAAAATAATCTTTTTTGTGCTCTTTTTTCAACAAAAATGTAATAAGTACTTGTCCTATATTAGCCCTGTGATTAGTGCTAGGATTACAAAGACAATTAGGATACGGTCCTCTGCTTTGAAGGGGTGTCGCTTTTAGTTTGGATAGACAAAACCAGAAATAACTGCATTAAAATGGTGTAAGTAATTATGGTAGATGAGTATTCAGGGTATTCTGAAGGTGCAAAAGAAGAGTGGTAATTTCAACGAGGCAAATTCAGAGGAAGCTTCAGAGAGATAATTACCTATGGAGTGAGTTTAAAAGACGGACTGCGTTTTCATCGAGAGGGCAGCACTGGACGCAGAGGTAGCTAGCACCTTGAGGGAGTGCTGCCGTGCCCCAGCGCTGTCATAGGTCTCATCAGTTTTGGAGTATTAGGAGCAAGGTAAAAAGCACTGTGATTGTAAGGCTGGAAGGAAATGTTTGCATATCTGATTTTTATTCTTAACTGGTCAGAGACACTTCTTTCTCTTTGTGGTTGCTTTAGAAAGAAAAGTTTGCTTACATGGTTATAAGAACTTAGTAACAAGTTTTTATATGTTATGACCTCTCAGAGTCTTTTATATGCTGATGACCATTTGAATTAAGGGGGGGGAGTATGTTATATTGTAAAAGCTTGTTTGGGGAACCTTTTTTTCTATGGAGTGACATATAGGACTGGGAGAAATGTTGTGTTATATATTGTGGTACATCTGTTTGATAGAATATTAAGTAGTCAATAAAATGGTAGTTATGAAGATGGTAGCAACATAGAAAAATGCTTGTGTGTAGCAAAGAAGAAATCAGAATCCAGATTTGTTTTGAGGCAATGATTATAATCATGTGAAATACCCATGTGTGACAAGTTAAAACTAGATACTATTTTTATCCGAGATTATTAATGGTTTGGAGAAATGGTGCACTGTCTAGGGCAATTTGGCTCTATCAGAATTGTAAACAAATATATACTGTGATTAGGTAGCTTTTTAAGAATCACTAATGAGGGGCGCCTGGGTGGCTCAGTTGGTTAAGCAACTGCCTTCGGCTCAGGTCATGATCCTGGAGTCCCAGGATCGAGTCCCGCATCAGGCTCCCTGCTCGGCAGGGAGTCTGCTTCTCCCTCTGAGCCTCCTCCCTCTCATGCTCTCTGTCTCTCATTCTCTCTGTCTCAAATAAATAAATAAAAAATCTTAAAAAAAAAAAAAGAATGACTAATGAAATTACTGACCTCATGTGCACTAAGATGTTCATGCAGAGATGTTCTTTATAATACTGTTTGTCATAGTGCCAAAATTTGAAAATACTTTAAATGACAGTAGGAGAATGGCTAACTGCATTAGTGTATAACCTTGCAATGGACTACTGTAGCCATTGAACTGAAATAAGTAGCTCTATGCCTGTCACACTGAAAAAGAGATCAAGTGTGTGTGTGTATATATATATATATATATATATAAAATCTCCTGTTTATGAAAAAGGAAACAACTCTCTGTCTACCTTATAAATATTAACGCACTAATAGAAGATTTCAAGGATGCATAATGGGGTATTTTTGTCCCAATTTCATTAGATTTTGTTGTTAACTGAAGTATAGTTGACGCCACAATGAATATTAACAGTGTGGTTAGTAGTGGGATAGGAAATAGTGATCCAGTTGTGTTTGTGTGAAATAGAAATTTCACTTTATATGTTTCTGAAATGTTTTAATATTTAACAATGAGTGTATTTTATAATAATTTTTAAAACATGCAAGAGAAAACTAGACAGAAGTATATCATATTAGTGTGGTGATTACAGATAAGTCTTTTCTTAAATTCCCATAATACAATTATAAAAAGAAATATGTATCCTTCAGGATATCATTGCAAAGTATTGCTTTACTCTGTTGATGTGTTACAAGACTTTTTCCCCTTCAGTGTTTAGCTAAGAATGTTGTATTAAAATTAAGTAAACTTACCTAAATTTTGAGTTTTGGCTTGATTTTTAGGTGGACCTTCAATCCTGCTGTTCTCACTAAAGCAAACATTGTCCGAAGTGGTGATGCTGCTCAGGGTGCAGAAGGAGGTACCTCACAGTTTCAAGTGGGTGATCTTGTACAAGTTTGTTATGATCTGGAAAGAATCAAACTTCTACAGAGAGGACATGGAGAATGGGCTGAAGCTATGCTCCCAGTAAGTATATCTAAAATAGTTTCAGACCAGGAATAATAAAATAGTTTTAGACTAGGAATTATATTATGCTCATGTAGTTTTAAAAAATACTTTTAATTTTGGAAACTAAATTAGAATAATCCTTTGAGAATTGTACTCTTCATTGGCAGCTAGGCATACTTAATGCCTTTTATTTTCTAATTCATTCCAGTGAAATTAGCCCAGGAAGGTCCAAATATGGCTACAGGTAATACTTTTTGAAAGAGTTGTTAGTAGAGGGGCGCCTGGGTGGCTCAGTTGTTGAGCGTCTGCCTTCGGCTCAGGTCATGATCCCAGGGTCCTGGGATCGAGCCCCGCATCGGGCTCCCTGCTCAGTGGGAAGCCTGCTTCTCCCTCTCCCACTCCCCCTGCTTGTGTTCCCTCTCTCACTGTGTCTCTGTCAAATAAATAAATAAAATCTTTAAAAAAAAGAGTTGTTAGTAGAGAATGTCATGAAGGTGGAAGGCAACAGAGACTTTCCTGATACTTAACCCCAGAGTGAGAGAAATGTGCTCATCTAGTTACTAGCCATGCTGGACCATTGCTGCTTTTCTCACTTGGGGGCCTGCCTCTCTAAAACTTAAGAGTGTGAAAGAACAACTCTGAATGTGTGCCTTCTGAGGTGGCTTTGCTCCCAAAGAGTTACGGTTTAGTTTTTAATTTGTTCATTTAATATATTTTTCACCAAATGTTCAGCAACAACAGAAAAGTTTGTTTGTTCTGCCCTCTTTGCATCCATCCTCTTTCTCCATCTATACATCGCTCTTTCCTTCTGTCCCTTCCTTCTGTACTACCCGTTCTGTCCTCCCTTCCCCCCCATACTGTCCTGCTGCCCCCCATGCTTTCTTGCCCTATATTCCATTTCCTTCCTCTTCTCTTCCTTGCTATGTCCTCCTGTTTAGCCCTCCACTTTGCTACCCCTGCTCCTGTCTTCATCCAGTCACCTAACTTGTCCTCTCCTGTTCCCCCCAGTACCATCCCATTCAGTGCCTCCTTCCTCTACCAAGTACCTCCCCTCCCATCCCTCTTCATGTCTCATCCCTCCACCGCCCCCCTTGCTGTGTTGTCTAGTGCCTGTCCTGGCTAGCACCTCCTCTTCCTGTCTAGTGCCATCTCCTGTCTCATCTAGCCCTCTGTCCCCTCCCTTCCTTCATGTTGTGCTGTCCCTCCATCAGTCCATTCTTCCTTCCTGCTTTAATCCTTCTGCAGATATTGTAGCACAAACAATGTGCCTACTAGGCTTCAAGGATATAATAGTGAACGAAACATAAATCAATTGTTATGGTGCTTTCATTCGAAGACATTTCACAGTTTGCAGATGCTGCTGACATTTTTTATTGCTTTAGTTAGATAGTGACTAAGTGATAGTTGTGTGTTTTGTAGGAGCTGTATTTTAGAATCTTTATTTTTGTCCAAAAAATTAAGTTGTATATGATCTCTCTTTGTTTTGTTTGCTTTTGATATTAAAGTTAGTTAAAAAAATGTATTGATTGTCTTTAAGGCTCACTGTAGTGTGGTGTTACTTAAATGTAATTTTTTGACATGCTTTTATAGGACTATGTATACTATTTTAAGATTTTTTAGCGTCAATATGTTTTTGTTTTTCCCCTTAGCGATGACACCTTATATGTAGCAGCTTATGTCTTTGGAGTGCCCAACTATTCTAAGCACTGTGCTAAATGATGAATATATACGTACGCGCACACACATGTACGTGTATACACACATAGATATATCCACAGACTTTATTTGTCCTAGGAATATTATAAGCAGGTGGTGGTATGACATCCTTATTTTATTTTATTTATTTATTTTTAGATTTTATTTATTTATTTGAGAGAGAGAGAATGAGAGCGAGAGTGAGAGAGAGCACAAGTGGGGGAGGGTCAGAGGGAGAAGCAGACTCCCCGCTGAGCAGGGAGCCCGATGCAGGACTCGATCCCGGGACTCCAGGATCATGACCTGAGCTGAAGGCAATCGCTTAACCAACTGAGCCACCCAGGCGCCCCTTATTTTAAAGATGAGGAAATCAGAGCTAAGATTCTGAACTGGAGTTTGAACCTAAATCTGTTTACTTCAAAGCCTAAGTTCTCTTTCTCCCATAGTAAGCTGCTATATAAGCAAAACCTGTAGATTATATCTAGAGGGGAATTCTGGGATTCCAGTGGTGGTGGTGTAGGATTTTAATCTTCCCAAATCATCTCGATAAAAATAGTCAACAACTAGATGAGCATAACCAAAAAAAAAAGAAAAGCCACAAACATCTATATCAAAACCAGGTTACAGAGTAACCTATTGAACCCTAAAATATGAATTAGTAGTGAGAAAATACTGATAGCTACCAGGTCTACATCTGTCTTTCTGGCAGCAGAGAGAATTAATGGGCATCAGATGGACCTGAGAACAGGGGAACTCCAACATAGTTAACAAGTATTCATTGGCTAGTCTAGTAGATTAATGTGGAAACAATAGCTAACCCTGGGAGGGCTCTTGCAGACTCCATTTTGGGGTGAGGGTAATAGGTCCACGCTAAAGGTTGAAGGAGTTGGAGCAGCCTGGGTCTGTAAACTCTCAAAACTAACCAGCCATAGCTCCCTTCCTGGGCAGAGCCCTCCTATTAAGGAAAAAGTGCTGGGAATAGAAGCCACATTGATTACGATAGAGACAGTAGGTGCAAAGGAAAGATAAAAGTTGGAAGGGGATCATAATCGGAACCCCATACATAGTTATTGAAAAATGACAAGGAATAACATAGCTTCTCTATAGACAAATGAAAGTACACTAGAAAGATATGCACAGAAAACTAAAATCTAATGATTCAGAATGAGCCAACAAATTAAAATGATAAAAGATGAAAGAAGAAAATGGATCATAATTAGAAATGAGGTAATAGAACTTAGGAAAGAATTGAAAAGGAGGATAATTTCTGAAAAGAAGAGTAAGCTTGATGCAACACAGATCAAATAAATATGACAGATAATGCCTTAAGAGAAACAGAAGGTAAAAAGAAGAAAAAATTTTAAAATAAAAAATAAAAAGTATTTCAGGAAAGTGACAAAGATAGAGTATGTAATAGACATGTATTAGGAGTCCTTGCAAAAAAGGAAAAACAAAAACCAAAGCATGGAATATAACAACTGCTAAAATTTATAATTCCAGACAAAATGTCCCCAAATTAAACGATTTAAAGCTAAATATTAAAAGGACATATTGCATACCTGGGAAAATTGAGACCACCAAACACTGAGCATAACCTGGTAAAATAACAAAATCTTCAAGAAAAGGAAAAAAATTCTTTGGGTATCTAGGGGAAAAGGTCAAGTTTTACTTATAAAGGAAAGAAAATCTGATCTCAATGCTTTATGATCTCAATGAAATAACATTTAATAACATTTAACTGACTTTCAAGTATAAAGGCTACAAATTGCTGTGAACATGTAAGAATTCAGAGAATCTTGTTCCCATTAGCCTTTTCTGATTAATCTATTAGAAAATGGGTCTCAGACAACCAAGGTGACTGGAGAGATACCAACTGAAGGGCTGATAGTGGACATTAAATATGTATTTGTTGAACTAAGATTAAAGGATAGTTAAAGGAAGGGGTAGAATATGTAATGGTTATATGCTCTATCATCACAGATAAAGTACAACTGTCAAAAAATGGGATGGGAATGGAGGGAGCATATGGAAAGTTTAGTAAGCTGTTTGCCTTTTAATTATTAACTGGAATGGAATACTATTATTTTAAATCAAAATATGAGGGAGAAAGAAGGTAAGGGTAAGAACATGAGTGACTCATTTCAGCGTTGTACATACTGGGGAACCAGTTGACTCACACACTCTGGCGCTTTTTTTTAAAGAGGGAATTAGGTTTTGTATATATAAATTATATATTAGTATTATTGTAAATATAACTATTAGGACGATGCAGAGTTTATGTGAAAAAAGCAAACAATGGAGGGATTAACCATTAAGTTAAAAAAACAGGTTTCATATCTAAAAAAGGAATGTGGTATAGGGGACAAAGGTAGAAGGGAGACGTCTTTGAATATGTCTTGTTTTATAGATTTGATTTGAAACCACATATATATTTTATACAATTATAAAGCAAAATTAAATTCCTAAAAGTGGAAAATAAAATGAACAAACCTAAATGTGTATCTTCTTGGCATAACCATACAGAGAGAAAAGTACAAGTGATTTTTAAACATAGTAATTTGTCTTTGTATCTTTTTAGGAAGAATATACCCTAAAGAACTGCATGTAAAAAGCAATATTTTAACAGTTTTCAACAGTTTTCAGAGATCTTGTTGTTTGTGGTAGTGTTAATGTTATTATCCTGAGATTGTTGTGTGATATCACAAGAAACCAAATGAGTACTTATATGGTAATTCTGATTCTGTTATCCCCAGTGACCTTGAGAACCAGAATGATCAGGGTGGGAAACAGATATGGATGTAACATAAAAGGCTGAGTAAAAACCCTGTAGTCTTGAATTTGCATTGGAAGAGGGTTTTTACTTATGATTTATTTTATCTTCAAGACAAAACACCCTCCTAGCACTATTTCCTAGCTCTGTCCATGAAAAGACTTAGAAACAATAATTCTAGTACCAAACTTGTGCCCAGATTATAGTCTTGAAATAGCCATTCTCTCTGTAAGGAACCAGTCTTTGGAGAAATGGCTAATTCTAGCTCTTGTCAGGAAGTGAACAAGATGAGCCTCATAACAGATGGTAAGGAAGCTATCAGAGGTTTCTAGGTCATGTTAAAAGGATCCAGCAGCCAACTTGGAGTGTTTCTTATCAAATACAGAGACAGATGAACTATTTAAATTATACCAATTAGCAAAGTTCAGATTGTAAGAAACTTCATAGGGCAAATAACCCTGTTTCTTCAACAAATAACTGGCAAAGAAAAATACATGTATAGACTTTATTTGGAACTTGATTTAAGCAGACTGAAAAATTTTATCATTTATGAGGCAATTTGAAATTTGAACACTGGTATTTTATGATATTACAGAGTTAATTGATAATTTGGGGAGGGTTGTTAGTAGTATTGTAGTTTTGTTTTTTAAAAAAAGTTTACATGATTAATAATACGGGAGGAGAAAATAGGTAGGGGAAAACAAGATTGGCCATGAGCTGAAAATTGTTAAAAAATAGTTGATGGGTACATGGGAATTCAAAATACTGTTGTCTACTTTTGTATGTTTGAGACTTTCCATAATTAAACAGTTAAGGGGGAAAAATACAAAGAATGCAGCCTCATAGAGTTTGAGATGATGGAAAATTCCAAGAGAAAATGTCTAATTAGAAGTTAAAATTGATGTGTGTTAGAGGGCAGGGAGAGGGATAAATAGGGCGAGAGAAGTATATTTCAGAGTTTTGGAAATAAGGTGATAATTGTCAAAGTGGATTAAGCTTTTAAGGAAGAAGAGAAAAAAACAAAGGAATAAAATTTGGGGGAGAATGGATTTAGGGATCTGAAAAAGGACAAGGAGCCAGTGAGTGGAGAAAGAGAAGGAACAGGCAGGAAGGTTAGACTGTCATCCAGAAATTAAGGGAATAGTTTCAAGTAGTTGGGGTCAAATGTTGTGGAGAAGGCAAAAGATAAAACACTGAAGGGCAGTCTACTCTGTTAGGAAGTAGTCAGGTATTATTACTATTCTTCACCAATTTTCTAGTGGTGTAATTTGCTATTCTGTTGTGCTTAAGAGAATGGGTTTTGGACTGGTGTTTGAAATGGGCCTAATAATAGTGCTTTACTTTCAGGGTTATGTGTATTAGGTGAGTTAATTTGTATAAAGCTCTTAGAACAGTATCTGCCATATGGTAAGAGTTGCTGCTGATTGTGTTCTGAACCCAATTGCCCTTCTTTTCCTATATACATATATATATATATATATATATTTTTTTTTTTTAGGTTTATTTATTTATTTTAGAGAGAGAGTGCATGGGGAGGAGGGGCAGAGGGTAAAAGAGAATCTCAGGCAGACTCCCCACTGAGCACAGCCCCAGGTGGGGCTCCATCCCCCAACCCCAAGTTCATGACCTGAGTCGAAATCAAGTTGGATGCTTAACCAATTGAGCTACCCAGGCGTCCCCTTTTCCCATATATTTAATAAGCATGTTGTTTCTACATACTTCTATCTTGGAATGAATACTGATTCCTTTTTTGGTTTAAGTATAGTTTATTTTAGAAATCAGATTTTATTTTTTTAGGCCAGATTGATGAATTTTGGACTTTTTGATTTATAAATTCTCAAGATGTAAGATAGGATTATGGGGTTAAAAGGTTGGATATCAAAAAGCAAAATTTTATGAATTCTTATGAATGATAGACTGTCATGATTTATTTTTGATTTTATATTCTTGTGGAAGTATTGTAGTTTTGTTTATTAAAATTTTTTTTTTTTCATTTTTTTAGTGGACAGCAAAGCAAGGTTTATTGAACAATAGTGCAAAGCTCCTGAAGAGGGAGGGGACCTGAGACAGTTGCCCTAATAAAATGTTTTTTTAAAGATATTCTTTAAAGTTTGTAACTAACAACCCACTTGAATATGTTGTCCTTTAACAGTTTTTTCATTAGGAACAAAAGAAAATTAGTACTTTAAACATGTGAGAACTAATGATTGACTTTTTGTTTTATGGTATGTACTTTAGACTTGGGAACATGAACTTTTTTTTTTTTTTTGAAAGACTTTAGGTAAAGTTGGCCGAGTACAACAGATTTATTCAGACAGTGATTTAAAGGTGGAAGTTTGCGGAACATCTTGGACGTATAATCCAGCAGCAGTTTCCAAGGTGGCGTCTGCAGGATCGGCCATTAGCAATGCATCTGGTGGTATGTTTGTATTATTGTGTCTTTAAAAGTAATATGGTTTACATTAGAACCTTTGCTAATTCCTCGATTCTCTTGTACAGCTAATGTTGTATGTGTTCATAGTTTTCTCCCAGATCACATGACCTCATTTGAATGTTGACTGACTTCTATACTTTCTCTAAAGGTTTTTTTATTTTTGTTCTAACTGAGGTACACCCTGGAAAATTTCCTTAAATAGGTGCTTTTTCTTGGGTATTATATCAAGGGCTTTTCCACATCATCTGAGAAAACTGAAATTCGTCATTGTATTCTTTAGTCTGAACTTTTGTTTTCTGCCAAGAAACATCACTTTCTTAGCCTACTTTATTCTCTTTTTATTTTCAACATTGTTGCTAGCAGATGGCTTTCTTCCTGGATATTTTTACATATCAGCCATATTTTTTCTATTTATTTTATTTTTATCTTTTTTAAAGATTTTATTTATTTATTTATTTGTCAGAGAGAGAGAGAGCACAAGCAGGGGGAGTGGCAGGCAGAGGGAGAAGCAGGCTTCCTGGTGAGCAAGGAGCCGGATGCAGGACTCGATCCCAGGACCCTGGGATCATGACCTCAGCTGAAGGCAGATGCTTAACTGACTGAGACACCCAGGTGTCCTCTTACTATTTAATAAGGGTTATTATACATGTAGAAATGTGTAATAATAAGTGGAAAATCATTTTGAAATGTGAGTAAGTAGAAAATTAGTAGGAAATCATTTTGAAATGTGAATAAGCTGGATGCTTGGGTAGACTCATGCCAAGTCTTTCCTTCCTTGTGCTCCAGCTTTGTATACATAGCCTCAATTCATTCTAGAACAAATTGCAAGTTATTATGTATTGTCATTCAGAAAAGAAGGTAGAACCATAACTAAATTTTAAGAAAGTAAAGGAAAACATTGGGTGACCTCCACAGTTTTATTTTATACTGCTTTCTACTTCCTCTGCTGCTTTCTCTTCTTTCCTGATGTAATTTGCTAATGTACTTAAAATTTAAATCAGGCGGTGTTTAAATTTTTACCTTGCAGTTAGATGGCATCACAGTAGGCTGACTACCTACAAATTCAAAGAATGAGAATATCCTACTCAAATAATTTGGACTTGGTGTTGGCCCTCTGCCTCACTTTGTGATGCCTTGCTTTCCACTAAGTAGAGCTGAGAGTTAAGGAATAGAACTGGGTAGTTTCTCTACTGATTAATGCTACTTAGGAAAAAAAATCTTATGAAAGAGTCTATGTAAATACATCTCTAGTTCTTTTTTTTTTTTAGTCAGTACCAATCACGTGGCACCTGTTGAAGTATGTTAACACTTAGATGACCATTTTCAACTGAAAATTGGTTTGTCACTAAAACATTTCCCCAAATATAGAGATTACATTGCTTTTAAATCATAATCATTGATTTGTTGATTTATTCTAAGGTCTGTAGCATAGAGCTTCAAGTTGTGGTATGCTTAAAACCTGAAAGGAAGTTTGTATTGTTATGATACTCCCACTGTAGTGTGTTCATTTGTGATTATCTTTGGTATGACTTCTAAATCTTGAATTGTTATTTATATGTAACTCTCTACTTTTTCTGAATTGGAGAAAACTGGGAATACTTATGAGTTGGAATTTAATGCAGCTTTATATGGTAGTAATTATAACTTGCATGGGTAATATCTGTAGTATAGTATGAAAATAACATGACAGAAATAATATAAAAGGAAAAGTATGTATTACAGATATGTGGGTAATGCTTGTCTTTTAGTAGTAGTTAAGGTTTGAGATCCTCCTATGTTAGCAGCTTTATTTGATGCTTTACAGAAAGACTCTCCCAACTCTTGAAGAAATTATTTGAAACCCAAGAATCTGGTGACCTCAATGAAGAATTAGTTAAGGCTGCTGCCAATGGAGATGTTGCTAAAGTGGAAGATTTGCTAAAAAGACCAGATGTGGATGTGAGCATTTTAAAAATTATTTGAAGCATATATAAAAATAGAATAGTATAATGAACATAATTCAATAATTACTGAGATTTTTCCACATGTCTTCATCTATTCCTTCTTTGTTTTTGTGAGATATTTTAAAGAAGACACTGGACATCACTCTTCAGTGTACTTTTTAAAAAAAAATATTTTATTTATTTATTTTGATAGAGAGAGCACACAAGCAGTGGGAGCGGCAGGCAGAGGGAGAAGCAGACTCCCCGCTGAGCAGGGAGCCTGATGCGGGGCTCAATCCCAGGACCCTGGGATCATGACCTGAGCTGAAGGCAGACGCTTAACCGACTGAGCCACCCAGGCGCCCCTTCAGTGTACTTTTCTAAAAGACATTGATATATTATTTTAACACTGTGGCCTATTATACTTAATTTTTTCTTCATTTAATTACTAATGTATTTTTTTAACAATATACATTCTAAAAATTAAAGGGAAAAATAGTTCTACAAGGTTTGTTATGAAAAAATTTCCTTCTCAATTCTGTTTACCCATTCTTCAGAGACAACTATTTTCACCTCTTTCAGTTGATTTTCTTCATATGTTTACCTCCACATCTTCCAATAACATACTTCTATTTTTTTTTTTTTTTGATTTTTATGTTTTAGGAGTTATCGTTTGATACTTCACTGTGAAGATGAGGATTCAGCTTTCTTTCCCACCTCCAACTCATTCCCTCCACACACATACACAACTCCTCTCAGCTTCTTAATGTGGTTAGGTTGTATGGTAACTTTGTTAAGATTAAAATTAATTGTGCATGTTATTATTTAAATGACATTCATATCTGAGCTGTGGATGATGCTAGATTGTATTTTCCTATATAACCATTTGCTTTCCTTGGTGTTCATAATTGTTCTTGTATCAAAAAAAAAATTGAGGTGTAATTTACATATAATGAAATACATGGATCAGTTTTGACAAATGCATACATATAATTCACACCCCATTAGATGTAGAACATTTCCTTTATTCCAGGAAGTTCACTTGCAGTTTTTCTCAATCAGTCCCTCTTAACTTCAGACATAACTTAAAGTTTTTTTCATTTGTTTGTAATCTATGTTGTTATAATTAATTCTTCTGCAACTTCTAATTGTCTAATCTCCCAAGACATGCAGGCATGTCAGGTATGTGTTCATTTCATCTTCTGAGAGATGATAACTGGAGATGACTTTTAGATATAACACCAAAGACACCATCTACGATCTTGTAGGACTTACAGTTTTGTGTTTTACATTTAAGTCTGTGATTCATTTTGAGTTAATTTTTATGAAGGGTATATGGTTTGTGTCTAGATTGATTTTTTTCCTTGGGTTACTCCTGGCATCGGCCATTAGGTCTTTTCTCTTGGGCTGGTCTGACTCCCCAGAGAGGTCTCTTAATTCTCCTGCATAGAGGGTATAAACCTGACTGCCAAGATCATGAATAGTGAGTAAGGGAGGAGGGCTTGGATTCTCAGCATTCATCAGCATTCATCATGCAAATATTTACATAATAAAACTTCTAATTTTAGTACTTTGCCCCACTGATAACAGTGCTTGGTTTCTGTAGGCTAGGGATACTTTACTCTTTGCAGAGAATAAACTTTAAGGTTTCTGCTAGCCTCGGGGTAGATCACTAGTTCAGCTGAGCAGAGTGAGGGAATCCAGGGATCTAAATGCTTTTTACAAATAATTAATTATTCATTAATAATTTAATTATTAAGTAAATTTATTTATTTTTAAGGATTTTATTTATTTGACAGAGAGAGATAGTGAGAGAGAGAGCACAAGCAGGGGGAGTGGCAGGCAGGCAGAGGGAGAGGGAGAAGCAGGGTCCCCGCCGAGCAAGGAGCCTGATGTGGGGCTCAAACCCAGGACCCTGGGATCATGACCTGAGCCGAAGGCAGACGCTTAACTGACTGAGTCACCCAGGTGCCCCTCTAAATGCTTTTAAAACAAACTATTAACCAATGCTTTTTTGTTTACCACCAGCCACCACATTATCCTCATATCCAGGGGTATCCAGTCAATACCTGAGCTTTTTTGGTTTCCTTGGTGGAAGGGTTGCTTCTAGGTTATTCTCGTAGCAGGTTTAGGGCCTGCTTTTCAGCTTCCTGTATAGGTGCTTGCATGTGTGTCTGTCTGTGTGTGTGTGTTATTTTGCTAGTTCTAATTATCTTTGTGGATTGAGGCTTCAAAGAAAATAAAACTTTGCTCTTGTTTTAGTAAGGTGTTGAGAGGTTATGAAGACAAGTGCAATCCAACCTTTAAAGAACACTTACAAGTATATACCTTTTTAAAAAAGTTTTATTGAGGTATAATTGTTTATACCACAAATAAATACATAGGGATATAGTCTTTAAGTCTCACAATACTGAAAAACTGTTCTCTTGCCTTATATCTGCACAGCTTCTAGCTCCTCTAATGGGATTTCCTGTTTTTCATAGCATCCTCCTCTTGATTTTTAGATGTAAAGGATTCTTGAATATCTCTAACTGAAGTTTCTTTCTCAAACATTTTATTTCTCTCCATTTGTTTCTTTCAGAGTCATTTTTTTCTTTCTTCTTTTTTTTTTTTTTGAATTATTTTTTGTGTGTGTTTTCTATTTTTGAGGTCTTCCTCAAATCTCGAATCTTTGGTTGTCCATTCATATCTGAATAAGACATTAAAAAGCTTATTGGTAGTTCTCTTTGCTTCGATAGGACTTAGTGACTGACTTTGCATTATGGTGATTGCATGTGTGGAGCTTTTGGGGTCTTTAAATGCTAACTCTTGTAGAGGTGTGTTCTCCATGGCTGTTAAGTTGTTTAAGGGAGAAAACCATTTTTCTGCCTAGGGACTAGATGCATAGCAGCTAATGTCCTATCCTTGAGTTTGAGAAGAGTGGCCTGGAGTGTGGCCACTGCACATCAGACTTCTACCTGGAGTTTTTCTTCTTAGCCCTCTCATGTGCTTGCTTTTGCAGGCTTTGACTTTGTGTGGGGCTCCCAGGTTTTGTATTCTTTTTCTCTATAAAGTCAGTCTGTTTTCTCCATTTCAGAAATGTGTTGCTTTTTATTATTTTCTGATGTTAGCTTTCCCTTTCTCTTTGTCTTTATGGCTTTTTATGTTTTTAATTATTTTACTGTCTTTCTAATGTAGTCTGAGGAGGAATAGGATATAAATGTGTGGCCAGGCTACCATCTTCTATGATTATTTATTTTTATTTTATTTTATTTTTTAAAGATTTTATTTATTTGACAGAGGGAGAGAGAGCACAATCAGGGGGAGTGGCAGGCAGAGGCAGAGGGAGAAGTGGGCTCCCACAGAGCAGGGGGAGCCTGATGTGGGACTCGATCCCAGGACCCCGGGATCATGACCTGACTCGAAGGCAGTTGCTTAACCAACTGAGCCACCCAGGTGCCCCTGGTTGTTTATTTTTAAATATTTTATTTATTAAGAGAGAGAGTGCGTGTGCGAGCAGGTTGAGGGGCAGAGGGAGGGGCAGAGGGAGAGGGAGAAACAGACTCCCAGCTGAGCATGGAGCCGGATGCGGGGCTGTATCCCAGGACCTTGAGATCATGACCTTAGCTGAAGGCAGACACTTAACTGACTGAGCCACCCAGGTGGCTTTTATGATTTTATGGATGAGAGTGAGTGGGGTGGGCTTAAGGAATTACACTTAGCCTTGGGTATGTCATGGAGAAATTATACATTTACACAAATCTGAAGTGAGGAGAAGGTTGGAAATTACTGCTTTATGTCATAGTTGTATATAGCTACCCTACTAATTCATTCATGTATTCCTCATGGTAGTTTGCTGACAGTATTCAGTATATTTGTCAAGTTGAAATTATTTATATAGTGGACAATATCTTTTCTAAAAGTTTTCCATTCACTTCATTGCTTTTCTTTCATTGAAACATAGACTTTGAGCTTTAATAATTCAAATAGAAATAAATATGAAAAACTAATATAACTTACTTTTCTCCCTCACTTGCTTTGTTTTTTCAACGTTGCAGATTGGCTAAAACAGTTCTTTGATAGCTCTTTGAACAATGGAACTTTCATCTTAAAAAAAAAAAGGAAAAATGTCTGCTCCCCTCTCTAAATTACAGAGAAGTTTCTGGTGATCTGTACTAGGATATATGGAACACCAACCTAAATTATTTTCGAAGAATCATATGGTGTGCTAGATTTATTTTTTTATTTTTATTTTTTTTCAGTGTGCTAGATTTAAACCTGTACTATATATTGACTCTTTGTGATTTGTGACAATCCTTCATCCTTTCTTTTTATTTAGGTAAATGGACAATGTGCTGGTCACACAGCTATGCAAGCTGCTAGTCAGAATGGACATGTTGACATTTTGAAGTTACTTTTGAAGCAAAATGTGGATGTAGAAGCAGAGGTAATTAAACTAATCTTGAAAAATACTTAAGTAAAAAATTAATGTTCTAGAAATGGTACTTCTGTATTATAAGATGAATTGCTTTCATTCCTAAAATTTAATAATCACCTACAGCTCTTCTGATTGAAAAGAAAAATTTGACAAGAGATAACCTGAAGCATTTCTTGTTTCTCTTTGATCTCTCAATATTGTAGACATAACCCTAAGTGAAGATAGGAGTTGAGTTTTCCTTTACTATGGTTGGACCACCATGCTGCTGGGAGCCCAGATGGGTTCATCCAAGAATCATACTAAAGAAGTTGAGGGAAGGAGAATATATAGATCATGTAGGTCAAGATTTTTACTGATCAGTGACACTCAGAGGCCTTTCTTTATTTTAATCTCATAAGGGAATCAGTAAATTAGAATTTGTTTAGTCTTATTGTTTTTTTTTTTAAGATTTTATTTTATTATTTATTTGACAGAGAGAGAGAGAGAGAGGGCACAAGTAGGCAGAGAGGCAGGCAGAGGGAGAGGGAGAAGCAGGCTCTCCACTGAGCAGGGATCCCGACGTGGGGCTTGATCCCAGGACTCTGGGATCATGACCTGAGCCGAAGGCAGCTGCTTAACCGACTGAGCCACCCAGGCGCCCCTAGTCTTACTGTTTCTTGACCTTAATGTGGATCTTTGAAAATTTTACAGTGCATGTTTATCATTATGTGTATATATGCTTAATAGAGAGTATATTCTTTTAAAAGGGAAATGAATATTTTTTACTGTCATTGGAATTCCAGTTGATAATCTCTGTGTGTGTTGTGAAGGATGTTGTCCTTTGTTACAGTATACTATAACCTCATTATTGAAAAAATACATTAAAATCACATTTGTTGTAGTCTAGTGGAAGGTTATTTAGGAATAAGTCAAATCCTATCAAATTTAGACTAGGCAGAAAGTTGTAATTTTGTTCAAATGATACTACCATCTGAGGAAGCTTAATGACTTGAATTTCTGAGGGCTAAATCAGTGGACCAGCCTGTTTTTATTAATTAAAAAATTTTAAAGACACATATTTGAAAAGAGAAGTCTTACATTATTTTTGCTTTTTTCTCAGATTGAATATATTTTGATTTGTTGGATAGCTACTAAAGAATCAATGATGTTGTAATTGTAAATAAGTCATTTCTGATGTTGGAATTTTCTGTTATCTAAAAAAGCTTGAATTTTAAATTAGCAGGTAGATGTCTGTAAACTATATGATAGTTTCATTATTGTGATACCTTTATGAATGAGATTATATGATTTGATTTTGTTTTCACAGTAGCTATTTTTAATTCACATCTTTCTTGGTTATGAATTTAGGAACCCAGTATATGTTACAAAGTTTCTTTCGGTAATGAAAGACTTAATTTAAATTTAGTATTTTGTAAATGGAAGACAATTACTTTATTGTGTTACTGTTTTCATCTGGCTTGGGGAAATGGAATGAAATTCCCTGAGTTGAATACCCCATTTTTTAAAAAGATTTTATTTATTTATTTGAGAGAGAGAGCACAAGCAGGGAGGGGCAGAGGGAGAAGGAGAAGCAGGCTCCCCACTGAGCAGGAAGCCAGCCGTGACAGTGGGCTCAATCCCTTACCCTGAGATCATGACCTGAGCCAAAGGCAGATGCTTAACCAAGTAAGCCACTCAGGCACCCTGAATATCCCATTTTTTATTTAATGAATCCAGAAACTACAATAGCAACAATTACTAAAATACTAAAGCCCTTCTGATTATAGCTAATAAGGCAAGAGGCCAAAAATAAAATTTTTTGCCTAATTTTTTATAAAGTATGCTTTCTGATTCAGAATTTAATTAATAAAGCAGACAACATGGGACTATCTAGCCATTTGTGTTTCTAAAGACTTCTTGTTCACATGAGAGGTTGTGCACAATGGTGGTGCAGCTGTGGGAGTGGGAACAAAAGTGGCACTGTTCCTTAACTGAACTCAAATACAAAACAAATGGTTAGTTGATAATATAAACCTGGTAAGATTGGAGTTGGAGTGTGGCTCAGTAAGCTAAGTGTTTGCAAATAATTTCTTTGAGAAAGTTTGAAAGTTAGGTCTGTTACTAGATCAGTGGGATATATTTGGACTTCAACCATACCACCTCATTTGAATTTCCATTCTGTGCATTTCTGTTTTAAAAACGCTTGTAGGCAAAAGGAGGTAGGTGGGGAGATGGGATATTGGGTAATGGGCATTAAGGAGGACACTTGATGTAAAGAGCACTGGGTGTTGTATGCGACTGATGAATCATTAAATTCCGCCCCTGAAACTAATAATACACTATATGCTAACTAAATTGAATTTAAATAAAAATGCTTAAAATATAAAAACCATTGTAGGCAGATGTAATTTATCGAAATAGTGTGAGAAAGGAGTATTTATACATCAGGTTAAATTAATAACACAGTTTCCCAATTGGCAAAGAAAAAACTACATTTAAAAATTGGGTTAAGATATAAATACAATTCATAGCCTAAGACTAAAACAAAAAAATCATCAAAGTATCATTTTTTTGGAATTTAAGAAATTATTAGAAACAGCAATATAGTTTTTTTTAGAACAGTAGTTCTCAACTGGGGGCATTTTTGTCTCATGGGGGACATTTGGAAATGTCTGGGAACATTTTTTTTTTTTTTTTAAGATTTTATTTATTTGACAGAGACACAGCGAGAGAAGGAATACAAGCAGGGGGAGTGGGAGAGGGAGAAGCAGGCTTCCCGCGGAACAAGGAGCCTGATGTGGGGCTGGATCCCAGGACCCTGGAATCATGACCTGAGCCGAAAGCAGACGCTTAACGGCTGAGCCACCCAGGCGCCCCGGGAACATTTTTGATTGTCACAACTGGTGGGGATGGTGGGAGTACTACTGGCATCTAGGTGGTAGAAACTAAGGATGCTACTAAATATCCCATAGTGCACAGTACAGCTCCCACAACAAAGAACTACCTGGCCCAAAATGTAAATATTGCCAAAGTTGAGAAACCCTGGTTTAAAAGATGGAGAAAATAGTTAATTTTACAAATGCACTTAGATTTGTGATTCATCATTTGCCAGCCTGTTTATAAAGTGATTTGTCATTATTAATTTTTTTTATTATTGAAAAAAAATTTTTTTTAAAGATTGTGTTTATTTGAGAGAGAGAGAGAATGAGAGAGAGAGAGCACGAGAGGGGGAGGGTCAGAGGGAGAAGCAGACTCCCCGCTGAACAGGGAGCCCGATGCGGGACTCGATCCCGGGACTCCAGGATCATCACCTGAGCTGAAGGCAATTGCTCAACCAGCTGAGCCACCCATGCGCCCTATTATTGAAAATTTTAAATAATTATAAAGGAATAGTATAGGGACGCCTGGGTGGCTCAGTTGGTTAAGCAGCTGCCTTCGGCTCAGGTCATGATCCCAGGGTCCTGGGATCGAGTCCCACATCGGGCTCCTTGCTCAGCAGGGAGCCTGCTTCTCCCTCTCTCTCCCTCTGCTTGTGCTCTCTCTGTCAAAAAAATAAAATCTTTAAAAAAAAAAATAAAAAAATAAAGGAATAGTATAATGAATCCTATGTTCCGATCACCCCACTTCAGTTATTTTTCATGGCCAATTTTGACTTAATCTGTACCCTCTTCCCTCTCCTCTACTGAATTACACTGAAGCAGATCCAGATACATTATTTCATCTGTAAATATTTTAGTATGTATCCCAAAAGATAAGTGTTCTTTTTCTTAAACTTCATTATATCTTTACCAAACGTAAAAGCAATGATAATTAACAGTGATTTTTAAAAATTTAATTGTATTAAAAGTCTTGAGGTTAGGTGAAGAATAAAGAGAATAATATATTTTGTTCTCTATCTCATTCTGTAACCTTTCATTTTTTTTTTTCATCTGCATTAGGAGGTGAGCTCAAGATAGTATAGATTAGGGGTTGCAAACTATAGCCTGCAGGCCAAATCCAGCCCTCCATTTATATTGCTAAGTATTATTGGAATACAGCACATCCATTCATTTATTTATTGTGTATGGCCACTTTCATGTTACAACTGCAGAACTGAATAGTTGTGACAGGAGACTGGGTGGTTGTAAACGTGAAATATTTACTTTCTGGTCCTTCACAGAAAAGTTTGCTGGCCTCTAGTATAGATGACTATTGCAGTTTTTTTTCAGTTGACTTAAGCTGTTATTAAACTAAATTGGTGTATATTATACCTTTCTAATATGTGATATCAGATTACATTTTTTTCCTGTTTCTTTTTCTTAGGGAAAATGCAGCTATTTTGGAAAGGTATCTCCATGTATGACCTACTGAGTACAGTAGGATTACATTCTGTTTCCTCCTTAATGTATAGGTAAAGGCACTGAGGACTGTGAGATCTTAGGTGTGTTTTTATAGGTGAACTAATTTTGGATCCTGCAGGGACTCGGTATTTTTTTTCCCCACTGATGAATTATAATAAGAAAGGTGTGGAGGATTGAATGAAAGACCAGTTTAAAACAGTATGTCATTTACAAAAAAAAAAAAAAGTTTTCAAATACAGTATAAATATATACTACAGTTGTCTGGAAACTTTATCATTTAAGGTTAATGAAAACTGTTCTGAAGGCAAGGACTAATAGAGAACAATACTAAATTTTGTCAGAAAACCCACATTATGGTATTGTTGCTGTCTAAAGTGATACTGGGCAAAAAGTTTAATTGGTATAAGCTTCAGTTTCCTTATCTATGATAATAACTTAAAGGGTTGGCTGTGGAGTAAGGGAAATAAGATTCTATTTATAGTGTACAATGACACCAAGGGAATCTAAATTTTTTTTTTTTTTAAGATTTTATTTATTTGAGAGAGAGAATGAGAGACAGAGAGCATGAGAGGGAGGAGGGTCAGAGGGAGAAGCAGACTCCCCGCTGAGCAGGGAGCCCGATGCAGGACTCGATCCCGGGACTCCAGGATCATGACCTGAGCTGAAGGCAGTCGCTTAACCAGCTGAGCC